GGCTAACTAGTAAAATGTTGCTGATATCCTGATAAAGATTTTACTAGTTAACCACTTTTTGATATCTTTCAAAAGAAGTGAGATATATAGGCTCAAAGTGGACGTTCCGGGTGTCGTTCTATTAGAGGTTTTACGGTAAATATTTTCCAGTTTGGGAAAAGAGTTGAACTTCGAAATGGGAAGAGTTTGGAGCATGTGTATCAATGATTCGGATGTCTTTTCTGTGGGTTTCGATTCAGGAGCTGTGGTTTCAAAGATTTGAATTTTCTCATGATTCAAAACACATTTATTTGAATTGTTCTATGTTTTCATTTTTATGAATACTGTGTGAATACAATGAATCTTTTATTCTGTAGAACCAAAAAGACAAATATAATTATTTATCACAGTCTCATGACAATATTATTTTGTCTATTAACTGGAACAGGCGACAGAGTCATCAATCGGCAAGACGAAGCGTTTTCATCATTCTTCACGAATTCACATTCAAATATCTGATCGAGTAGCTCATCACACTGAAAAAATAAATTTATTTCGAAAATTCTACAAATTTTGAACTCACCATTTTCATATTGTGATCATTAAATTTTCCAAGCTGTGAAAACTTTTTTCTGTCTCTGATGACGTTCTGTATTCCATTAAAAACCACTGTTTTCGCGTGCGAAAACGATTCTGATTCTGAAAATTCCTTGAATAAAAAAAAACAGATTGCAACTGAAGTAGTTACCATAATCCATTTCCGAACTGATAACATTTGCAAGACGGAACAGTTTTTGTAGGGACAAAATGTGATACGGACGATTCAGAAGTGTCACCATCTGAGATTTTTTGAATTCGGAATAAAATAGAAAACTCAATTCTTACCTCATAACTTCTCACAACCACTTCAATCAATTTCTCCATATCAGAAGTGCCTCCTAATCTGACAATTTTCTCATAAGCCACTGCTTCATAATCCAATAATTCTATCTTTTCACTGTGTCCTCTTCCGGCTTCAACTGAATCCAAAAACTCTGCCCACCATTTTGCGAACTTCATTGAATCATCCGATCCACTCGCAGCGTTTACCATTTCGGCATATGAATGATGGGCAAGAGAGATGAGGCACCTGAAATCAACTATCGAGTATATTTAGAAAAAGCAAAAATAATGTTACATGTCTACTGGTGACTCTCTGTTGGCACTTTCCACCAATCGAACACATCTGGAATAGATCTGTTGATCGTAAGCTTCGACGGCTTCTGTGTAAACGTTGTTGTCAACTGCTGATGAGGTGTCGGCTGAAAAATCAAAATATTAGAAGATTTATTTTTAAACCAAACTAGTTTTCTGTAAAATTTCAGTGGTTATAAGAAAATCAACAACATTGGAATTCGAAGAATTATAATTCTTCGGGACAATTTTAATATTTTGTCTGGAAAACTCCAGAAGTCACTCTGATTAATTTTATCTCTACTTTACCTTTTGCAATGTTTGAACATTTTCGAGAAATTCGAAAAAGAAAATCAAAATTTCGTTACAAAATGTCTCGTTATTCTATACCAGAGATGCACGGACAGCGAATTTTTTTTGTTCAGACAACGGACAACGGACAATGGACAAACATTTTTTCGACGGACAACGGACAACGGACTGTCCGTGCATCTCTGTTCCATACGTCCGATTGTTATGGTAAGAAATCCCCAGAATGGTTTTGCTCAATTCCAAAAACTTTAGAGGTCAAGCTTTGAACCAAACAAAAATCTCATATGTATTTTTTCTAGATTGAAACTGGCTGCAAATTTAGAACTTCCAGGTCATTTAGGTCTGAAAATGAAAAATTCTGGGAGTTTCAGAATGTTTAGTAATGTTTTTTTCCGAACTTTTCATTTTTTTTCTTCAATGTCAAGACCTTATAAGCTTTCTAAAGTTACAGCGAAAAATAAAACTTTTGTCCGATTCTATCCAAAATAATTCAAAATCAAGAACTCACAATAAATACTTCCAGTTCCACAAGAGCCGGGAGGTGTTAGGAGAATCGGTGTTGGAGCAACACTTCTCTCAACTTCTTTCTTGATTGTGCTCAATTTTTTGACGATTTCCTGCGCCACGAAATTCCATTCTTCACAATTCTCCAGGTGTTCATCCATCACTGCAAGCTGTTCCAAACTTTGTTGGATTTCTTGAATTCGTTTCATTACTGCAATTTTTCTGAATTTGGGTGATACTTTATATTATTCTGGTACTAAAAATCGGATCTGTGGAAGAGAAACGTCGGTGGCCGTGACACAACGAAAACTACAGTAACCTAAAACTGTTTTTTTAAATAAATATTCTTTCCTTTTTCACTGTTTTTCTGTTATTTTTTCCCGAACGATTCGGAAAAAAATTAACTGAAAACGCAGCAAATTCGAGAAAATAAAAATATTTAGGTTACGGTAGTTGTCGTTGTGGGACCTTCCGACTTCTTTGTACCAGAATAATGGCAAGTTCTAGAAAAAGAGCTCATGGTGTTTGAAAGAAGAAATAGACATGAAAAAGTTGGAGAAAACTCGAAAATCAATGAAAAACTGATAACGGAGAGGAAGAAAGAGATGATGAGAGAGGGAACAGAACAATATTTGCATTTTTTAGGATTACGATTGATTTGGAAATATTCAGGATTACAAAGGAACATGTGATTTTTGAAAACATGATCACTTAAAAACATTTTTTAGAAGGGATTGTTCAAAAAATAATCACTGAAAAAAAACTTGCAACACAAAAAAATCGGGAAAAATAAGTGATAAGATCCTTCTTTTCATGGAAAGAGCATTCGAGACGAAGAGACGCAGAGAAATCAGGTTGTGGCGAAAAGAGGGGGCCCCGCTTTAGAAGTACACACCATTATGACCTCTTGATAATCTCACTCGAGACGAATAAATATGATAATGATAGGGGAGCGAGAGAGACAGAAAAACCGGAAATGTACTGGATAGAGAAAAAGAAAAAAATGTGTGAGATTGGGAGAAAATTAAATGAGGAAATGTGAGAACGCGCATTGATATCTGAGAAAATTGGAGAAATTGGTAGACTTTGGTGTCGTTGGAGGTTTTGTTCAGTATTTTAAAATGCTGTTATTTTGGGAACAAATTTCACATTTCAGCAATTATCATAGATTTCGACAACATTTCCGACTGCCGTGAAACCTATAATAGACAGGGCCATCCACATTTTAAAGTTTGAGCTCGATTATCTCAATTCCTATGCAAAATATCAAAATTGTGTCAACTGACAAAACACTTCTGAAATTATGATAAACAATTCATCAGTTGACAACTATTTGATATTTTTCCAAGGAATCGAGATAATTAAACTCAAAGTAAAAAGTAGTGGGGTCTTCTATTACAGGTTTTATTGTAACGATATTTTGAGAAGTTGATATAATGATTCGAGAGTTAAGGTTAATTATGAAAAACTTTTCTAAATTTATGGTATAAATTTTCTGAATATGAAAAGTGAGTTTTGAATTTTGAAAATCTCAACTTTCCAAATTCGATTTCCAAACTTTTTTTGAGCTACAAACTTTATATTAAAAAATCAATGGTACTGAAAAGAAGTTATGGGTTGTAAAACTGCAAATGAAAAGTGTCACTCATTGGAAAATATTTGAATAAGTCAGTCGGTGGCAAAGAGAGAGATCATGCTCACAAACAATGCGAACAATGATCGGAACAAATAAAACAAGAGAACTAGTGTGCGAGATGAAGAGACGCAGACATGAGGAACACACGGAACAACTTTTCGAGAAGCAAAAGGAAGGAAGGAGAGGAAATGGATATATTTTACCCAGGTGAAAGAACAAATTCTGGATTTTCTGGATTTTTAAAGAATGATTGAGAGTTGATTCGAGAATGCAAATTGTAGGTTATTAGGGAATATAGAGTTTCAGAGACATCGCGCTTTCAATTTTTAGAGCACTAATTGACTTCGCAAGCTTATTAAATTTTTGAAGAACTAAACATTTTTTAAGTTTAGGTCAACCGTATCAACCGTAATCTAACATGTTTCGAATACCGTATTCCCTCTAATAGAATCCCACCCAAGTCGTCAACTTTGATCTCATTTAACTCGATTCCTGTGAAAGATATCTAAAATTTGTCAACTGATGAAACTTTAGTGATGTTATGATAAACATTGTACAGTTGACAAATTTTTTATGTCATTCACAGGAATCGAGATAATCGAGCTCAGAGTTTAAGATTTGGGTGGGCTAATATAGGGAGAACGGTTTTCAAGAAATTTGCTATCAGAACAAAACTGATAACTTCAGAAAAACACAATATTCATCATTAAAAATTAAATAGGATTTTTAATAGACATTGGATTCATAAAAATGTGTTCTGTGACATTATGGGATCCATAACTTCGTATTCAAGATTTCAGGGTTCTCAAGAATGAAGGGCAATATTTCTAGAGAGCTTGAAAAATTCTGAACGGATTGAGCAATTTTTGGCGAAAAAATGGTTTTCAACGAATATCCTGCAAATCTAGAACTTTCCGGAATATTTTTCACTGAAAACGTACGGGAATTTTTTTGTAAACTCACAGTATGGGACCCTTCTATTTGATGGGTTTCACGGTACATTTGAAAAGCTATTCTAAATTGGTTAGCATTGCCAATAAGTAGGTTTCAAGCTGTATATCTTATTTGGATGAATTACAAAAAAAAGGTCAAAAAATTAGCAGAACGGAAGAATCAAATTCAAACTTACTGTAAAGACCAGACGGGTCCCCACCCTGTCAAGTTTGAGCTCAATTATCTCAATTCCTGTGCAAGATTTATCAGTTGACAACTTTTCTACATATTTCACAGTAAATGCGATAATTGAGCTCAAATTCGAAAGTTAGGGAGGCCTTCTATTACAGGTTTTACTGTATTTCAAATCTAGTATGGACCCAGAAAAGACGAGTGCCACGTCACACTCACTCATATATGCTTATTCACAGAAAAAAGGCGAAAAGTGGTTGTCAGTGTCAAACACTTGACCCTTCTTTAAGCCTCCTTTAAACGGCTTATTCCACTGTGTAAACAATGACAAAAATTGAGGTAAACTGAGAGAAAAAATAAGTTTGAATATTTTCGAATAAACTGAAATGTAGGTGTTCGATCTCTTGAGACACAAACCCGCTTCCTGACGATAGGGGGATAAAGAAACGGAACACGATTTTTCTATTCATTTCAAAATCTCAAAGCTTCTTTTTTTTTCTTCGATAATTGCCAGGAACAGACGGTTCTTTTTTTTTTGAAAAGAATAGTTGACTAAGAAGAGATAAGTGTGAAAAAAACGAGGGAATAAATCCAAATATGGATGGATATAAAGGAATGAGAGAAAACTAGTTGATCGGATATAGAAAATGAGAATTAATGATGTTTTGGTGGTGTATTTACAAGAATCTGGGAGGGAGAAAATATTCAGAATGATTCATTGATTGCAGATTTTATGGTTTGAGGCACATATAGGAAAGAAACTATCAGAGAAATTTAGAAAAAAAAACAATTATCAAACTTCAGAACAATTCAGGTCAAATCCACTCTGAAATTATTAAATTTCGTCTGACCTAAACATATCGGTTTGATAATAAGGAGTACTGTGGGGAAAAAATTTTGAAAAATGAAAAGGATTACTGTAGGTTGAAAAATATTCGAAATTGAAACGGATTACTGTAGGTTGAAAAGGTGTCGAAAATTGCGCCCCAGAAAACTTTTAGGCCAGACGAAATTTAATAATTTCAAAGTTGGCGTGGATTTGACCTAAATATGTTTCAACACTCGCAATTTTTTTTTGCTCAACGTTTAAAGGTTTGACCTTCAGTCAACGAAATTTGACACGTTGCGCAGTGATTTCTCACGTTTGCTGGGGCGCGTGCTCCGACTATGTTTTTTGAAACAGTGTGTTACTGTAGGAAAAATATTCGACAACGGAAAGGATTACTATAGTTTTTTTCAACCTACTTCCCCAGTTGCAATTCTCGATTTTTCACTGTTTTTTGAATCCACGTCCTTCCTTAAAAATATCCACCAAGTCTCGGGAATTTTCCCACATTTCAAGACACGAATCAGTAACGAAAAATGTGGAAATCGTTGCTCTTGTTCGCTTTTCTATCCCAAACTGTCAATGGATATCTTCTATCAAAAAGTGATCCAATCTGTCGAGATGAAAGTTTTCTCTTTTATTGGAAATCAATGGATCCAGAAGTCACAAGTGGAAACAGTCCATTGGACATTACCAGTAATTGTTGCGTCTCTTTTCAGGTATTACAACTATTTGGAAACTAGAATTATCAATATTCATTTTTCAGATATGGTTCCGATTGATTTTGGTAATCTTTTTCCTGTTCTGGATCGCCACTTTCGTTCCAATCGTCGTCAATTTCATTGAAGGGACCGATAGAAGAACCAATTGTTGTGATGAGAAAAAGAAGAAGGAAAAGAAGAACACTGGAAAAGAATAGACCAGAAAATTTTTTTAAATCTCTGTGAATAAACTTTCTGTTTACTTTTTTAATTTTTTAATTACTGTAATGGCTTTGAAAACACTTGAAGAAAGAAATTCCGGATTTTCTCCAACGCTCAATTATCTCAATTTCTATGCAAGATATCAAAAATGTGTCGACTAATGAAATATTGGTGATATTGGAATAAATAATTTATCAGTTGACACAATTTTGATATCTTTCAAAGGAATCGAGATAATTGAGCTCAAAGTTGACGGTGTGGATGAGGGTGGGTTTATAAGAGAAAATACGGAACTTTGGAAAACAACGACTTTCAAAGTAAATGCATTTCAAAAGACATTTGGGACTCCCAAAGTGGGAGGAAAACAACAAAACCGTTGTTGTTCTCAAAAAAAAAGTTTGAAACAAACAGTTTTTGGAAAAGATTGATCATAAATGTTACACAGTTTTCTAGGCGCCCCACCAGAAAAAAACGAGAGGAATGTCGTTATTCTCGGGGCGGCAGCTTTTCCCTTTTTCTTTCGTATAATTAGTCACAATCAGCTGTTGTTGTCTCTGTCCTTTTTCTTCTCCATTATTCTCGAGGTCAAGAAAATTGTAATAATCATTCGCCGAGAAACTTATTGATGTTTGGGCAAAGAGAAAGGCTTGGTTTACGTTGTTTCTTGAGAAATACCGTTACCTAAAAAAAGTAAACCAACGAATCCAGTGGACTACCGTCCAATTTCTCTCACTTCGCACTTATGTAGACTGTATGAACGATGTATCTTAAGTAGACTAGCTCCCTATCTAGATGAGAGACAGTTTTGGAGTATGAATCAGCACGGTTTTAGAGCCAAAAAATCAACAGTTACTAATATGATGGAGACATTAACCGACTGGACCAATATGATTGAAAATAAGGGACAAGTTGATGTTATTTACCTAGATTTTTCTAAGGCTTTTGATAAGATTCCCCACGATAGGCTTCTTAACAAACTACTAAAACTCAACCTGAATTCTCACTTGTTAATGTGGCTTGATGATTTTCTTTCTGGTCGTAATTATAGAGTAAAGGTGGGGTCCACACTTTCAGGTTCAAAACGAGCAATTTGCGGAGTCCCGCAAGGGGCAGTTTTGTCCCCAGTTCTTTTTGGGATCTATGTTAATGAAATATCGTCTTTCCTCCCTCACGAAGTTCATTGTAAACAGTTTGCAGATGATACTAAACTATATGCCTCGATTAACGAAAATGATCCTGACAACCCGCTGCAAAAAAGCATAGACTTAATACAAAATTGGCCTGAAAAATCCAAACTAACAAGGCTAAATTTATCTTGTCTCAAGTTTTCCAGCAATTCAATAGTAAAAACACCCGATTAATGGTTCTTTTATACAAAGTTTTCATAAGGCCTGTGCTCGAATATGGTACGGTAATCAGTAGTCCCTTCAAATTATCAGATATTAAATTAATAGAATCAGTGCAAAACTCTTTCACAAGAAGACTGTATAGTCGTAAACTAGGAAGATATGTTAACCCAAACGATAAGAAATATAAATCTGCGAGCGAGCGCAACCTACTCTTTGGTCTTAATTCACTACACTCTAGACGCTTAGCAATAGACAGGAAAATGGTATCAAAAATGATATCGGAAAAAATAGGTCTGAACGTAACTGAATTTTTCGCGTCAACTGAAACACATACTAGAAGAAAGACACGATTTCTCTGGCCCATTCCTAAATCTAAACTAAGGCGAAACTTCTTTGTCAACCGCACTCTGAGTCTAATTGAGAACCCAAGGTCCCTTCTCTCTAATTTGTAAAATAATTTATTATTTCTGTTAATCATTTTTGCAGGTATAATTTTTATTCTGTATGCGTGTATGTGTTGATGGTTATGTGCTATTATTTGGAAATAGTGTTACTATTCGGTTCCCCACTTTAATTGAATGTGTTGTCTAGTTATTCGTGTATCTGTGTTTTGTGTGATTGTATTGTATTCCTTTTCTCTTTTTTCTCTTTTTCCACGACGGAAGGTCGTAATCAATAAATAAATAAATAAATTCGTTTTTTGTAGAATTTTGTCTACAATAACCCATAGAAACGTGCCTAATTCAGAAACTCGAAAATTCAAAAATTCGAAAATCTTTATTCATCTCTACACACACAATACAATAAAAAGTAATTTCGAGATGTTCTGTACGATGTGCTCCTTGAAATTCTAGGATGTCTGACTACTTCTTACAGAACAGCAAATGATTCCGATGAATGTGGAGATGATCATTATAAGTACAAGAACCGCAAGGGTAATGTACACCCAAATCTGAATAAAAGTCTTTTGTGACTTTCGATTCTTGATTCGATTTTTACCTGAAGAGCAAAGCAGCACTCAGCATTGTTATCACCACAGCAATTGTAGTAATGAGCAAATGAAGTCGAGCCACAAAATTTGCCATTTTGGCCTGGACAATAGGCTCCTCCCTGAAATTTTAGTACTTGAATAGAAAAATGGCTTCAATAATTTTACCTCAAGACTAATAAAGGCACTACCATTGGTGCCTTTCGCCGCACCGTAAGCAGCTCCCGCTCCCCCGTCGTTGCTTCCCGCCAAAACCAAACCGAGGGCGATGACAATCACACAAAATCCAAAAACTTTGAGGTTGAGCATGACCCTAAAATTCTGAACTCTGATTGAGAGGGGTCCTGAAATCAACTTACAGAGAATTTCCAAAGTGCGAAGCGCTATAAATAACGGTCTTCGAAGGTGTTCAACTCGAAGGGATAACCGGAAAATAGATGGAAGAAGAACTGATTCGTTGGATCAGATATTTGTGGCTGCAATATCTCGAGATAACGATCTAGTCAATGGAAATCGTGGTGTTTCGTGTTTTTGAGTTCACGTCTCAAAAGATTGGAGAAAAAAGGTTTCAGAGCCTAGGGGAATAAAAACAAAAAGGCAGTCCAAAAATGGATATTGTTAGAGGCATAAACGGTATATCTCAGTACACGAAAAGAGGAGAATGATCTCCGTTTTGGTCTAGACACTATTAGACCCCACTAATATACTAATAAAACGACAGCTCCTTCACTTTTACCCCGTCGTTAAAAACCAAGTTTGAATATAGTAGCTCAAAAATGACGGGTCAGAAAATCCAGAATTTGCTATTGCATTTCCTCTCTTTCCTTCCTTTTCGCAATTGATAACCTATTGAATAAATTTAATTCAAATGAGATATGACAAAAATCTGATTCCAGTACTAATGTATTCTTGCACATCTTCCCTTTATACACTATAAATTTTATGCGATTTTTTATGAAAAAGTTCTTTCTATCAAAAACGAAAATGAAATTTTTATACTTCCTAATTTTCAGTGAAGTTATCTTTGAAATGTTCAAATTTTGGAGTTTCCGAATTCTAGGTTTTCAAAATTTCTGAATTTTCGAGTTTCAGAATGTCAGAATTTAAGCATTTTTTGAAGTCCGTGTTTTGACTTTTCGAATTTCTAAATTTTCTAATTTCCGAATTTCCGTTCTTGGAATTTAACGAACGACCTAGTGGACAACCATCAAATGTTTCTAACAGTTTAATACGGTCAAGAACTGTCTAAAAACGTCAGATCTTAAACTTTCATTACCGCGGTGAGAAATAACGCCGTCAGAGAACGAGTTTGTCGAAATTCGCACCAAATCATGAAAAAATGAGCCTGGAGCTCCAAATGAGCAGTAAGTCAGTCAGTAAAATTGTGAAAAGCGAGCTCGAACTGACCCCATATCGTGTTCAAAAGACTGGAATTCTGTCGGAAAATAATAAACTGGTACGCATCCAGAAGTGGAAACCTCCATTTGCTGACACGCGCCAAAATGAGCACATGAATAGGATGTTTGCCGACTAGAAACTCTTCACGGCGGAAGCCAATTTCTTAGTAAAAAGCTATCTTGTTTTTTCCCGAGGTCTGAGGTTTCTAATGAGCATAGTAACATAACCAACAGAGCTACCTATCCTCAGAACGACGTCGTTTTTGGTGCAACAACCCCCGAACTCTGATTTTAGTAAATCTTGGGGTGAAAATCGACGAAGAGTACTAGTAGGAGGAGATTTTTGTGTGACATGTGCTTCCGTGGACCAAATTCTATCTTAAAAACCATGTTTGGACTGTTCAACAGGATTCTGCTCTCGTCTGCGAGGCGAAAATCGTTCCACCAGGTTGCACGGTCCACTTTTCAAGATTCAGCATGACTTGCAAACGACCAGCCACGTCGGCAGACATGAACCTACTCAGGCGTCGCCGGTTACTTCTGGCAGGAGCTTGTTCAGATTCCGGCAAAGATATTGTGGGAAGCCGACCAAGATCCGACAAATTACCGGCCAGCTTTCGACCTCTTAACACGCAGCGCCTTCAAATTCCGGCCAAATTCTGACTATTGTCCGTCCCACTGCTGTCAGTGGGCAGCTTCTGACCAAAATCTGACCAAAATCCGTCCAAAAGCCGAACCCCCTTCAACTTCGTCCAGAAGTTGCAAGCCGACAGCCGAGATACTGACCTATTCCGTATATGGAATTTTTCAATCAAGAGACCGAGCACGTCCACAACCCAATTTGAAGTCATTGGAAAAAGTTTGGACCTAGAATGTGCCAAGTTATCTCCAAAACACCCCCCGTGCCACAGTAGATGCGTTCCCGAAGAGACACATGGATCTTGCGAAGAACAAAGGCAATCGCTTCGAACAACTTTTATAATTTCATGTTTAGAAAGTATTCAGTAAGCTATTGTTAAATTTTCAAGTCTATTCGAGTATTTTCGGAGAAGTTACAGCACTTTGAATGTGTTACCATACTTTTGGGCCACCCTGTATGTTTCCATTTGCTGCCCATTTGAAAACATTTACCTAAAGAAATTTTTTTTTCTAATTTTTATTAGCATTGATAATCGAGTAAATGAAAAAATAATCGGGTTAAAATTGAAGCTTTCAAAGCAATAAAATGCAAAATTACATTATGGAAAATCTGTTTTTATGCAAGGTTATGAAAGTTGATGAAAAAGTGCATTTGAGCCATTGTTTTTTGGGGAGTAATTGTATTAGTAAAAATAAAGGACTTGCGAGTATCTGAAATTAAAACTAGGGGTCGGGGGTTGAAAAGGCGAAGAGAAAGAAAGAAAAACGGAATCAGGGGGAAAAATCAAGATCCTTCCGAATTTACTTGCGGCAGCAGACGCAACGGACAAGGGAGATGACGAAGGAGGCGATGAAAATGACTCCGAAGAGAGCAAGAGTCACCCAGACCCAGGTCTGAAAATCATAAAGTTATGGTGGGATAGGATTACGGTAGAAAATAGCGTGCACACAGGTCTATTAGTAAACTAGCAGCTTTAAAATAACGCTTCCATTTCGGCCGGTCGAAACTTGGAGGCGGCCGACCGACAGAGCTGACCGATCGGTTAGTCGGCTGGGTCCGGTCGGTCGGCTAAATTTCCCGACCGAATGGTAACCATATTGAGTAGGATAGGGATACGTCAGTGACTAGGCACACTGAAACAAAAAAGTTTGAAATGCATCGCTAACCTGAAGATTGAAGCAGCACTCTTTGTTGAGATCCCCACAGCACTTCCAGTAGTGGAAGATGCTTGAAGTTCCGCATTTGGTTCCTACCAATGGGACTGGGCAGTAGGTGTCTCCGTCCTGAAAATTGGTTATTCGGAATATAATAACTTTTATGAAACTACAGTACCTTGGTAGTTGTCACCTCGTTGACTGCACTCTTCACATCGTGTTCCACATTTGCAGCCAATGCGATTCCGATGCAAGCAGCAAGAGCCAAATAGGACATCATGTTCGATGGTTTGAAGGTTCTGAAGGTCTCTTTGTGATACTTTTTTTTGAAAATTTGAAGGAAGAAATTGAGAAGACAACCAAAAAAAAGTGGTGGTGGGCAGTTTGGTTTCTTTTCTCAAAAGAGAGATAATTTCACAAGATTGTGGATGGGGGACCGAGGAAATAGTATATGAATCGGAGGAGACGCAGAGAAGGAAGAGGCGGTCAGAGATTAAAGAAGGAGGACAATTTTTTTCTTGAGAAAAAAATGGACCACTAAAGATAGATGGGTGGATGTGTCTTCTTCGGTTTGTGGTCTTTTTGGAAAAAAAAAGTGAAAAGTCGGAGTGGCGAGAGATAGAAAAGTTCAAATGTTGCATTTTTATCAATGCCCTATGATACCGAATTCCAAGTCATATGGAAAAAAAAACTGTAGGTGAAAGGAAACTAGTCATCAAAATATTTATTGTTTGTTGTTTTGTGGTTGTTGATGCACTTTTTGAAATGGTGATTGACCCTCATCAGAAATTAATATGGGTCACATTTTAGGTTTTAATATGGAATAGAACGTTAAACTTTTAGGAAATTTAGGAGAAATTTGTTACCATAAACGCTCTCATAGAAGAGATCCCTTCTTTTTCATGTGTAAGATATCAAAAAAGGTCAACTAATGAAATATTTTTCGAATTATGATAATTGGTTTATCAGTTGACAGCTTTTTGATATCGTTTACAGGAATCGAGGTAAATTAGCTCAAAGTTAGGGAGCCCTTCTATTCAAGGTTTTTCTGTATGGTTAAGGATCTTAATATAAATTGTGTGGAGGAGTAAGGTCAATATCATTACAATTTCAAAAAAAAAACGAATTGGCCATCTGTTGGCCATGTGGTGGCCAGGTTGCCAAGCTCCTGGATGATGTCACCAGGCAAAAATTTTCCATAAATTTGGGAAAAAATAACGGTCATTGATCTACAAAATTAAAAATTCTTCAAACTTGTCTGAAAATTTCAGAAAACAAAAAATCTACTTTTAGAATAGATACCAAAAAATATGTCACCTGCGAATTTGCTCTTTACATGTTGTTTTTCTTTTCGAAATTTTAGGGTCACTTTCGTATAAACTAAATTCTCAACAGTTATCTACCGTAATGCCTGTGATAGAAGGACCCCTGGGCCCCCACCTTGTCAACTTTGAGGTTAATTATCTCGGTTTATGTGCAAGCTATAAAAAATGTGTCAACTGATAAAATATTGATGATATTATGATGAACAATGTATTAGTTGGCAATTTCTTTATATCGTTCCCAGGAACCGAGATAAATTGGCTCAAAGTTGGAAGCTCTTTTATTACAGGGTATTTTTGTTTGTCCCCTAGAATCTACAGTATGTCCAACTACAGCAAACTACTAAGTGCAAATAACGAAATATTAGATTCATTCTATACTTTAAACTTTCCAAAAAAAGATTTTTATTCAAAAAGTTGCAACATAAACAACCACGAGTGCCTTGTGTGGTATCCTCTCCCATTTCCCAAGTATTGGTCGAAATTCGAAAAGTTGTGAAGGACGTTTTTTGTTGGGAAAAATAATTGGGAGGTAAACGAAACGATGTTAGGGAAGAGAGAGAGAGAGAGAGAGAGAGAGAGAGAGAGAGAGAGAGGCACAAAGAAGGAGAGCAAAAAGTTTGATCAAACAATTCGAACAAATTTGTACACGATTTTCGGAATGTGTTCGTCATGCTTGTATGGAGAAACACCTTTTAATATTGTCTATTCAGATTTCCCACATCATCTGATGCAGAATTCAGGGTTGAAAGATTCTGAACAAATAGGCACGAGGACAGATTCAGAAGTCGTGTGGCAGGAATTCAGTTGATGTAGGTGTCGTCGAGGGAATAGTGAGATCAGAGAACTATAAAGTTGGGCAAATATATATTCATTACTGTATACTTTACTTCGATGGAGCGCGGATTCAACGAATTTGGGAACAAAAAGGTCTCAGAAACCATCGAACTATCGAATGAATTCCTTTTTTCTCTGACCCCTAAAAAACATTCGAAAGTGTTTAAGAATGCATTGAACGACTTTGGTGCGATCTTTGGCACTTTATCTTTTCCCAATTTTAGCTTTTTGTCCCTAAAAAATTTCGTAAAGTGAACATTTTGATTTCAAATGAATAAAAAAGTAAATTTTTGACATGATGAAAAATAGAATTCAGTTGTCAGAAATGTCAAAAATGGGTTTTTTGTGTTTCTGCTTCCTAATTCGATTTGATTTTCATATTTTACAATTTTGGGAAATCACTCTGTGGTACGAAGTTGTGGATGATGAATTACCGTAAAACCTGTAATAAATGTGTCAACTGACAAAAATTTGTGATATCATGATAAATGGTTTATCAGTTAACAACTTCTTTATAACTTTGACAAGAACCGAAATAAATTGGTTCAAGGTTAAAAGTTAGGGGGCCCTTCTATTACAGGTTTCTGGTAATTTTCAGGTTTCAAGCAGCTTAATTCGCTAACTGTAAGTAAAAAGCCCCAAATGCTACAACGGATACGAACAGCCATTTCCCTAGTATAGAATTCCGAAATGTATTGTTCTGATAGTAAAAACGGGATTTTTGATTAGACATTGCTCCCGAACATTAAAAAATGGATTCGAAAAAAGTAACTTCTCTACAAATCCCCAGCTACACATCTACTGGAAAGAAATCCAAAAAAATAGAGAGAACAAGAGATCAAAGAAAAATAGATTGGAAAATTGAAAACGAAAAAAAGGAGAATGATTCGAGAAAAGAAAGCGAAAAGACCTATTATGGGAACATGACAGGAAACAAATGAAAGAGAAAAAAGAATAGAGAAAAGGAAACGGAAAAATGAGAGAGAGAGAGATTTGTGTTTGGTTTTTTTGGTTTTTGGAATTTCAAGAACTTTTTGGAAAGGAGCTGAAAAAGAGTTTTAAATTGAAGTCTCAGGCTGATATCCTATATGATGTATATATTGTTTTTTTTTGGAACAATGACATCAATTGTTTATTTTATTTCCACAAAATGATTCATATTCAGTGTCAGATTGCTTTCTGAAAATGATCAGAAACTAACAAAAAATAGAACACGGCTCTAACTTGACGCAATATCTAGTACTATTCTTCTCATTTTCTTCAATTCTGACTATTTTTATTTCAAGAGGAATTCATTTCGTAAAATGTCAAGGAGGGGTTTTCTAGTGGAAATCAGGTGTGAGGGAATAGAATACAAGGTCACGACCACCAATAAGTGAGTCACAATGGAGGGAAAAGATTTTTTGAATTCTGTATAGTTCTGGTGATTCATGAAAACAAATACATTTTAAAGTTATGGAGGACTGCAATAGATTTTAGAACCAGAGTGAATATATCGGTTTTTGCAAAAGTAGCGCTTTTCACAATTAAAGGGAACTCGAACCAATTTTTTTTTATTTCATTAAAATTTTCAAGCACCGGTCGATAAGATATACAAACCCGCATTTTCAGTTGGTAATCGGCAACATTGACCATTTTCAGGAATGAGGAGCTCGGCAAACAGGTTTTCGATCAATTTTTAATTTAGGTCTGTTTTACACCTTCCATACTTTTCAAAGGGATCGGAAACTTGACAGTCGAGCTCCAGACACCTGAAAATAGTCTAAATGGCCAAAAATCAACCGAACAATTTTTGTAAATCTCACTGTATGTATTCTCTTAATATTATTGCAAAATAAATTTGAAAAACTATCTGAAATCCCGAAAAAAATGAAAAGAAAAAAAATTGAAAACAAATAAAAAAATTTCAGACTCTTTGTGCGATAAACATTTTGGTCAGAGAAAAAGACAGTTCAACGTTTGTGTAGTTTGCCCAAAAATATCTGGAGAACTTACCCTTGCAAAATCAAAAAAAAAAGAAAAAACGAAAAAATCTGGGTGGCGTTTTATTCTTTTGCGAGTAAAGAATTCTTGGTTGTTTCTCTGGTAGATCCACTTTCACTAAAAGCTTTTCCGAAATCGACCGAAATCCAATTACATTTACCAACCATCTCATTTCCATTTTTCATCCTCTTCTAATTGCCACGTCACATTGATTTTAACTCAATTTTCTTCTAATTAGAGTCTGATATATTCCTATCCTGGTGCAGGAGTACTTTGAATGATTGGTTTTGCATCTAACCCAAAAATTTGAAAAAAGGGAAATATTTAGTAAAACAAAATAGTATTGTGTTTTCTTTTTCTTGTTCACAAGAGTATTCTTCTTTTTCTTCTTCTTTTGGACAGAGATTCAGCGATTTCCACAAGACCACCGGATGAAAATAGGGACAACAAAATGCAGAGAATTAGTGTCAAAAGTGGAGAGAGGGAGAGAAAAAACAATGAACTGAAGATGATTATTGTTCCAGAATGGGCGATGGGGGACGTCGAGAATAAGAGAGAACTGGATATAACTTTTTGGGTACATAATTTGGTTGTTTGGGTTTTGGGGGATTGGAGGGATGGCATAGAAAAAATGGTGCTAAAATACCAAACTTTAAAAAAATTGGTTGACAAAATTGTTCTGATCAATTTTGCCAACCAGCCTCAAAAATGACCATCAAAAATGTTTTCTTTATAATCATTTGAAATATTTTCAATGCTTCAACTTATGACATATTTTTAACAGAATGGGGCGGAGCCAAAAACAAAATGAAGTATTCATGTATTGTTCACACATTAAATACCGTAAACACTCTAATATAATGACCGCCCTAACTGTCAACTTGGAGCGTATATATCTCACTTCCCCTAAAAGATATCAAAAACTGGTATACTGAACAAATGTTTATCATATTATCAGCAACGTTTTATCAGTTGACAACTTTTCGATCCCTTTAACAGAAAATGAGATATATGGGCTCTTAGTTGGAACTTCAGGAACACTTCTATTACATGTTTTAGGGTATTTGGGAAAGAAGGGGCGGGCCCAAAACTAAAAAGGACAAATTTGTTTAAAGTAATATTAATATATTGCTCACACTTTAAACATTTTTAGCATCACAAAATAGCAAAAAGCTAGTGTCATAGAATGATCCTTTTTCAGATCAGAATATCAACTGAATTTTCAAATGAGTTTTTTCTTAATTAAAACTAGCAGATGGTAATTAAACATCTCATTATTTCTATAATTGTTTCATATTTCAGTTATACATTTTTTTTCCTAATGTCCTTGACTATTATTCCTATCTCCTCCTCAATATAAAACTGCTCATGATCAAAAACCATCCATTTTCTTCTCTCAACTTGTCTTGAACCAATAAAATTTGAAGCGAAAAATGAGCAAAAAAAGATGGGGCTCCGCCTAACAAACCAGAACTGAAAAACGTCGCGACACACAAATTTTCCAAAAAAAGGAGGTCCGTTGGGGGGAGAGAATGCGAATAACAAGTTTTGCAGAATTTATTGACACATGGATATAAAAAATGAATAGGGATGAGACGAGAGGAAGGAAAAAAGGGAACGGGGTGTGTGGAACTAGAAAGAAAAGAAATCAATTGAGAGGGTAAATATTTACATTTTGACCTCGTTTTGTTGGGATTTTGGGGAAGAAAATGGTGAATGTGATCTAAAGAACAACAAAAAATAATTGACAGACAGGAAGTGGAATGTTTGGCTTCACTTATACTCTTCCTTATAAAGCTAGCCTTCATTTCGATACTCCTTGAATTGGTACTACAGTATCTACCGTATTCTGTGCGAAATATTTTACTTTGGTCTAATTGCAATGCAAACTGTGACCGAAAATGTGCCGGTGGGCGGAGCTTAGGTTCGGTAGTAAGATCCAAAAGCACATTTATAGGAGCATCTGTTTTTTTGGGCCTTTTTTTATAATTTTTTGATGAATTTTATAGATTTTTTATGAGTTTCCTTGTTTTTTATGCAACTTATTGAGATTTGTCGAAATTTCGTGAAAAAAGTATTCTTCCGATTTTTCGAAGAATTTCAGATTTTTCAACTTTTGTTTTACGAAAACTCGACCTAATCTAACGAAAATCGCAATAAAACAATGTAAATTATCAAAAAAACGGGGAAAAATATGCCAGGAAATAAATAAAAAAACTACAAAAAATTTTGAAAAAAAAAATTTTCACAAAATTCCGACAAACCGCCAAAACCGCAAAAAACCGAAATTGTAAAAAATCGAACAACGAAAAATTAGACCAGAAAAAATTACGAAAAATACATGCTCCTTTAAGGATTTCGATACCAGACATAAGCTCCGCCCACTCTCGAATTTTCGGCGCAAAGCGAATTGAAATTCAACCAGACTAATACTACAGTATCTACCCTATTCTTCACAAAACATACAAATTTTTGGGTGTATTTTATTCTTTCTGGAATGTTGACGAAAAAAGAAAAAAAAAGGAAAGCGGGAAAAATATGGAAAGCGCAATGATGTATGAACAAATTGCGCTGGTTGGTGGGGGTCCGAACTGCCGAGCTCCACGGAAATTTCGCTCCAAAATTGCTCTTTTTGGCGACGACTAGGAGGAAGGATTTCATAATAGTGTGCGTGATTGCTGCTGAAGCCAGTGGGGGGCGTTTTTTTCTCAACTTTCTGAGCAGAATCTCATCCGGGTGTCGAAAGGAAAAAGAGCACAAATTTCGAAGACGACTATGATGATCGGTTTTGGGCACGAAGGCTAAAAAAGACGACAAATTCGCAAGTCAGTGTCACGCAATCAGCTTCTGAGCTCGGATGGGCACACGCAAACAAAATTTGAAAAAAAAAGAGAGAAGGCGGGAGAAAGTACTTTACACAGTGAGCAATGGCCACATGTCGTCCCTCATCATTTTCTCACAATTTTTTGAGAAAGCGAGAAACGAAATGTTACACTAACACAAAGAAAAGATTCAAAGATTCAAAAAACTTTTGCACAGAATATAGAAATCTATAGTTACAGTAAGACACTTCTAGCGAACCGGGTTGCTAAATTACAGTTCGACAAACTTGAAAAAACAGGTTGATTACAACATGATGAATTGAAAATTAAGTTCAAGAATCAAATTTTGAATGGGGCAGATCATAAAGATTGGAAGAAAAAAATTGAAAAAAGTTTTCGCAAATCCCAGGATTACTAGGTTGGAAAACATTTGAAAATACAAAGATTACTGTAGAAAGAAAAATATAAAACAATGCAAAGGATTACTGTTAAATAGAAAAACCTTCGAAAATGAAAGGACTACTGTAGTCTGAAACATATTTGAAAATGAAATGGATTACTGTAAGTTGAAAAATATTTGAAAATTGAAAAGATTACTGAATATTGAAAAATATTTGAAAAGATAAAAAATTATTATGCTGATATGCAAAAATCGAACTGTGGAATAGGAAATCTGGTGGCGGCGGCCACGGCCGAAGCACCGTAGTTGAAAAATATAAATTACTTTAAGAAAATCAAGCGAAAATCCATAGTAATCTAGAAAGAAGGGCTGGTCCTTTTGTCCTGATTTCTCTGAACTTTTGTCCTGATTTCTCTGAACTCTATATAATTTTATATCTTTTTTTTCTTTCAAATATGCAGAACCTTTATTGTAAATCTCCCTGCAATTGTTGATCATTGTTTCAGTGTAGTAACAGCTGTCTAATAAGACATTTCAGCAACACGAAATTTAAACTAGCGCGCAAAACATTTCAATGGCCTAGAAACCGAATACGGTGTACCCTTCTCGGACAACAGCGCGAATGTCTCAATTTTTGAAAAAAATGTGCTAGCACATGTGCTTCTTCTCAAACAAATATTCGTTATTTTTCAGCATAATAATCAAAATTCAAAATTTAAAAAATGGAGTTAGAAACGGGTCAGGTGACAGTTATGGAGATGAAAAAAGAGAATGTAAAAGAGCTCGCACAGATTCTCAAGACAGTGGTTTTCAAAGATGTAAGCTTCGTTTCAGTTATTTTTCGTAAAACTTTAATTTTTGCAGTTTGGGATGCTTTATGCATTTGAAACGGGCTTAAAAATCACAGTGGACGACGGAGCATTCCAGCAGGCCAACGCTTTTCTCAATTCGGCGTTCTTTTCAGATTATAAAGTTAGAGAAGATCGGATTGCGTTGAAGCTACCGATTAAGACAATTTATGTGAGATTTTAAAAATCAAGCTAAAATAATTAAACGAATTTCAGGAGTTTCTAAGCATCCCAGAAGGAAACTCGAATTCTGTAAAGTTTTCGTACTCTGGAATGTTCGATCCGCTGAAATTACTCATTGAAGAATCCGATGGTTGTGTTATCAGAGGCAAATTCAACAGTTCGATTGCAGATCAAGTGAGGTAAATAATTTTTGATTCAACATTTCTTTTTTTTTCAGGAACTAGACTTTGAGTTCGACGATTCGGCGGTTCCAGTGACTTATTTACTCAAAACACAAGTTCTAAAGGATATTTTTCGAGTAAGTATAAAATAAAACAACCTAAATATTCTTATAAATTTAGGATTTCGACGACACCAGTCGCACTGTGAAAATGAGTTTTTCGAGTTCTGTGATTTGTTTTTCAACGGTTGGGGAGGTTGGAGAAACAACAGTATCGATTCCTTCTCGAAGCCTCCAAATGGAAAGTGCGAAGTGCACAGAAGAAGTGGAACACAGTTATCAGTTATCACTTTTGCATCGAATGAACCCTGCATTTGCGTTGGCGTCTAAGGTATAAAATTAGTTTCGAACGTTTCGAATTATGAAATTTCAGCTCATTCTCCGAGTCGACGAACGCGGAGTGCTTTCTTGTCAGTTTTCAATCGATCACGGAGAGTGTCGCACAAGTTACATAGAATTTTTAACCGTTCCCACCACCGAAACTGATGGATAAAATTGTTTTTGGTCGACTTTGACACTGAATTTTCATTATGAAAAGTTCAGAATTCTTAACTGTAGAAACTGAGCTAATTTAAAAAATTAGTGAAATCTAGATTGAATGCAATACAACCGAAGAAAACTCGTAAGCAGGTGAACGGGGAGGTAATTAAAAATAAGAATGACATTATTTGACATGATCAGCGCTAGTATGCACAGTTATTTATCGATTCCGAACAGCATACGAATGTCGGCTGTGGTGAGCTTGTTCATTTTGCGAGTAGCGGTTCCATCTAATACCGACGCCGCTAATGTCATTTTCTTTTCTTGAAGTTCCACGACGCGTTGCTCAATTGTGTTCTTCACGATGAGTCTGGAATGAATAGATGCATAAAATTTTCAATAAACTCAACAAACCTATGAATGTAAACTGGTTTCTTTTGACCCATTCTGTAAATTCGATCACAAGCTTGCTGCTCCAGCGCCGGGTTCCAATGCAAGTCAATCATCACCAAATGGTTTCCGCCAACCAAATTCAATCCAACACCCCCGGCAGTTAGGGAGAGGAGCATGACTCGTGCACCGCCCTTTTCCTGGTTGAAACTGTCCACACGCTCCTGACGATCTTTGACTTGAACTTGTCCCGTGATGGATGTATAGTTATGTCCTCCGTTTTGAATGTGCTGCTCAACCAGATTGAGTACCGATGTCCACTGGGAAACGATAACTCTGGAAAAAAGAAGCCATGGTGAAACGTTCTAGATATCATAACCTACACTTTCTCCTTCTTCTCCAAGATATCCTCAACGATCTCCAGCGTTTTCTGCATTTTACAACTAATATATCCAGTATCGAAAATGCAAGTTGCGGTTTTTCTCTTTGGGGACTCTTTGGTCTTTTCCTCTTTTTCGTCGTCATCACTCTCATCAGCCAATGTTAAATCCGCCATAGTCTTCTCCATTAAAACTCCAAGCTCATCGACATCAATGTTCTCATCATCGCCACCGTTGATTTTGAACGCGTCTAAATCCATTCCAGATTTCGTGATATGGAAGTGGACACATGCTTGACGAAGGCGCATGAGAAGGACAAGAATGCACGACATGTTCTGGAACTTTGAATTGGCTGCCAGATTTCTGGGACCCACTGAAAATAGTTGTATTTTTGAACGACTATCACTGAAATTCCCTACCGTTGAACGGATTCAACATATCCTCATCAGCTCCACGTTGACGACGCCTTCTAACATATCCGAAGTTGTTAATATCATCAGTGTTCGCCACGATTTGTTTGACCAATTTTTGAGCGGCTTCCATCATGATCAAATAGGCATCAGCTTCATCGTTACCCATTTCCAACTCATGAACTTGAACAGTTTTTGGTTCCAAGTTTACAATTTTCTTATTGGTCACAGAGCATGTTTGGTCTTTTGTGCGACGAAGAAGCAAGTTCTTGGTAAGCAAATTGACTCGATCTGACGACATAGTCTTCATTGGCATAATCGATTCTTGCCAAAACTTGCGATCACTGAACAATGGAATTCGGAGGAACTTTATGAGACTGTACAGATCCCAGAGATTGTTGTGAATTGGTGTTCCCGAAAGACACCAACGAGAGAATGCGGAGAGTGTACAAACCGCTTTGGAGCATTGGGAGAGACGATTCTTGATAGCGTGAGCTTCATCAAGAATCACACGAGACCATCCGACTTGGGCAAGTGGAGAGTCATCTTTCGCACCACGGCGACGACGTCTAACTTCGTCATCTGAAACATCGGAGTCCGAATCTTTTTCCTTCGTCGCGGACGTCTTTTTTCCCATCAACTCATTTGCTGCGAGAGTGTATGTAGTGATAACCACATCATAACGAGCCAACTTCTTTGGTTCAATCTCTCTTTGCTTCTTGGTTCCATGAAACATGAAAACTGACAGTGTATCTTGCTCCAGTCGCCTGTCAATTTCCGCTTTCCATTGATGAATCAATGAAGCTGGTGCGATGATCAATGTACCGTTCGAAGGATAAAGACCTTCATTCTTCGATGCTTCTCGCTTCGCTTTGTCATCAGCATCCTCTCCAGCTTCCTTTCTGGCTTTTCGAGCGACCTTCTGATGAACAATCAGTGATATCATAGAGAGCGTTTTTCCAAGACCCATATCATCAGCCAAGATTCCACCTGAATGTGGCTGAGCTTCACGCCAGAGCAACCATGTTAATCCGCCCTTTTGATGTGGCATCAAATCGACAAGAAGGCCGTTCGGAGTCTCGGTGAGATCTGTTTCAGCTGGGATCGTGTTCATGGCACTGAAAAGAAGAGATTTATTAAAGGTTTTTTCTTTGACCCCTTTTTTTATCACGTTCTGATCTAAAATCATGAATGCAATAAAAACTGCCCCTTTTTATATCCCTTCGCGGGTATAAAACCAAGAAAAATCGTCGTTTAAGTTGTACTCAGAACCATGAATTTCTATATTCTGTTCGTGTTCGCTATCATGCTAATCTCCTATGTTCATTCCGATGGTGAGGTCTTCAACTCGTTCGCCAAACCGAAAAGATTCCCAAAAAAGTCTGGAGTTCACAAGGAAGGAACCGTCATTCTTGGCCCACCAAGACACTGATCCCATTGTTTTTTGAATTGAGTTAATAAAGATTTTTCAAGCAAATTGCATACTTACTCTGCCAATTGATTCGTCAAACGATCGGAGATTTTTCCGACTCTTCGAATTTTGTCCTCTGTCATTTTTCCACTCATGATTTTTCTTCCGTTTTTGTCGAGCATCGCTCCGAAATCTGGCTGGGGAAGAGGAGCAATCAGATTTTTCGGAGGTGGCTTAGAAGGGGCTGGTCCCGGGGCTTTGTCTTCTTCAACGTCTTCTTCTTTTACAATATTCAACACATCTTCTCCATTTTCTCGTCGCCTATCCATTTCTTTCGAAATTCGGTCACAATCATTCATGAGACGAGCTCCTTTATCCGGAAGATTATTGCTGTACATCGCAAGTTGCATCAATTTCTGTCTTCTTGCTTCCAACTCTTGCATAGACTGCTTCGCGAACTCAGAAGCAGTAAATGGAGAAACTGGTTTTTTCTTCGGAGAAACTGCCGTCTTTATTGGAGAAATCGGGGTAGTTCGAAAGGTGTGTTGCTGAATTGGAGAGGCTGGGAATTGTGTTTGTGGAGAATTCTCGTTGGCACTGATCAAGAAATCGGTTTCCGAGCGGTTGGGAGTTTTCAATGGAGATCCCTGAAGTTTGTAATTTGAGAACTAGTTTTATTGTATTTGAATCTTACCATTGATGCGTCAGAATCAGATGATATCGCAGAATTCTTCTTAACAATTGGGGAAAGACCTGAAGTGAACAGCTCCGGATCCTTGTTAACAGGACTCGTGTTGACTCCCCATCCGCCTTTTTGAGAATTGCTAGAACTTCCTCCCAATGACGAATCTTTGTTGTTCTTTAGAGTTTTGCGGAGAAGACGTTCACGAAGTTGTTGCTTGGATCTTATATCTGATGTTTCAGTCAGCCTTTTTGTGATTGGAGTAACTGGATGTTCGTTTTCCGAATCGATGAAACTACGGGAACGATCATGACTTTCCGTCGAGTTTCGGGAGCTTCCGTATGTCGACGACACATTTCGAGACGAGTTAGCTTTTGAATTGGGAGTCGAGGTCACGATGCTGGCACGAGATGTATCAGAGAGATTCGAAGTTAAGGGCTCAACGACCGTTTCCGGCGGATTAGAACTTGCAGCCGAACGCATCGATTCGTTTCTCGAAGAATCGGCAGATCGATCAGTTCTTCGTGCGTCGGATGATTCAGTTTTTGATGAACCTGAGACATCGGATTGCTCCGATTCCGACACATCCGATGATTCCTTATTGTTTTCGTTCCCTTCGGACTCCGATTCATCAGAATCCAATATTATCTTTTTTGACTGGAAAATGGTTTTCTACTATATTTCATAAACGAATTCAAATGTGTTTTACCATCTTTATCTTTGAATTCTCATCCTCGTCTTCAGATGAGCTGATAATCACGCGGGATGTTCGGTAGGCGGACATCCTGAAACAGTTCACCGTTTGCGGTAAAAGTTAAAAGAAATCGAAAACTTTATCAACCGAAAAGTGCGATTTTGGAGAAAAAAATCCGACGAGGGAAAGTGAAAAATTGAAGTTGCAGCCGACAAGTTTCTCTTTCTCTGTCACCTCTCGTTCGTGCAAAAAGGGCGCGAATTTGTTTAGTTTTTGAAATTTGTTAATTCCGAAGCTGTCAGGTTTTCTCATTGAAAGTTGTAAATAAAAAAAGGCTCCGTATCACGTTTTTCACTTTTAACGTTACAGTGAGTCGATACTCAGCGAATAAAAT